AACTGATTTGCGATTCTGGGGATCGCGTTGCGATTTTGTTGGTCATTTTGGCAAATCCAAAAAAAGTTGATTAAAATCGTATATTATAAGACATATTTGATCACTGAGACGATTTTCTCATAAAAAAAAATATCCAACAGAATCCTCCGTTTGTTGATGGGTTAGTAGTGCTTTCTTCCGTGTTACCTAACAGAAGAAGTAGCAGAAGCCAAAGCGAAAGTCAAATCGGGATTTCCACTCAGGTTTAACCGTCTTTTCAGCTTACTTTGCCGTTTTCATGTTTTGTCTATCATCCGGCGACCGCGTTGCTGCTAGCTTTGGAAAATGCATCCTGTTTGCATGAGCTAACCTGGTAACTGTCGCGGCGGTTTCTGGTCTTCTAACTCGGTGATTTCAACTTCAATATAGCCATCGCCGTCAGTTCCGTGGCTGGCTTTGCTGTCGTGGCCACCGTCGCCTGCTGTCGATGTAAAAGAAAAAAATGGAAAAATCGATCAGGTAGCTTAGATAGATTTTGATTATCAATTAGTTAAAGCAGGCAAAATAGAAATCGATATGCTTATGGAACAGAAACCATTGATGAAAGCTTTGAGGCGAAGTCACACATCTTCATCAGCATCAACACCATCATCCGCATCATCGCGTCAAATACTTCGTCTTCTTCATCGTCGTCGTGGATTCATTTGCGATCGGTTCTATTAGCTGCTTCTTCTTCCTCATCATTGTCATCTTCCTCATCTTCTTCCCAACCACTTCAAACTGATCGGTGAGTTCCCTTTTTCCTCTTGAATTTGAACTACGACTTCCCTTATTCCCCCCCCCTTAAATTTAAATAAAGATTTCTAATTATTTTGCCTGGATTTTATAGATTCCGACTTTTCCATTTTTGTTTAAAAATGATAATTCTCTCATCCGTTACTTGAATCCCCGATCTGAAAGTTGTCGAATCAATTCCATCAATTTCATGTTCGTTAGGTTCTTAATAAAAGTTCGATTCCAATCTCATCGTCTCTTCTTCTCTCTAAAGGTTCCGAATCTGATTATTATTCGGTTCTTTTTCAATTTCGTTTCAAGATATTTTTGAAACCCTCAACTGTTTCAACACTTGTGTTGGTCAAACTATTCAACTGTTGTGATTCCTCTAACTTTTGGGAAGGAGAAGCAGTCACTTTCAGAATCATGTTTGTTAAGCAAAACATGGTTGAAAGCCATTTAATTCTCGTTTTGGTAGTACTTCAAGATATATGTTCATTATTATTTGGACCTTTTAGTTGTTATGCTGTGGAACTGTGATTTTTTTTTATTCTTATCTTCACTATGGACCCTCCTAGTGATTGAAATTGCTCTTGCAATCGGGTCTATTTGCAGAACTAGTAGAAGTTTTTTCGCCTGCTTGTCTTTACTATTCCATGTATCTACTCAGCTTTTAGCATTACACAGTTGAGTGTTCCAAAAGTTTTGTTTCCTCATGTGATTCATTGCGTCTTTTGGAAGTGTATAGATTCATATAGTGTATCTCCCACATACCATTCATGAACCCAAAAAACCATGCTTTTATTTTGTTAACTTTATCAAATACGAGAGGAACTTTTTATTTGTAAGCTTATATCTTGATGGAAGGTTTATTAGTTTTGTTTCTTCTTGCGGAAGGGGTAGCCTGAAATCACCTTGGTCTCACAGGAGAAGAAAACACGCCCTTCTACCTAAACAATGGAAGAATTTGTTCCCTGCAGATGGGAAACTCGTTCATGGTGGTGTCAAGTTTCTGAAGAAAATTCGAAGTGGAGTATGTTATTAGACTAGCATTGACTTGTTTACCTTCTTTTACAGATTCCATGCGGTTTATTCTGTTTTAGTGGACATTTTGTTGCTTCTTGAGAATTCATTCTTTGCATCTTCAATGTAGGGTGTTGATCCAAGCATTAGAGCAGAAGTGTGGCCATTCCTCCTTGGAGTGTAAGATTCTTATACTTCTGTGTACCATTTTTTACTGTGATTCAAACAAACCTTGCTTTCTTCAAACTACTTAATTATTGCTTCTCTAACCTCTCAATTAGCTTACTCCTTTCGTATCACTGTCTAGTTGCCTGATTCCTTTCGAATGAACCATTCTTTCTTTAAACGCTTAATTCTTGTTCTATGTCATCTTTTTGTTTATATCTTGGTGCTTTTCTAACTGCTTATGTCTCAATGTTCCTTTGGTAGATAGAAAGCCTTGGTTAAAGAATTTTAATCTTTCTAGTTGTTAGTCACTTCGGAAAGAAAGAGGAGAGGAATGAAGTATTTTGTATTCGTTTGCATTGTATACTTCAAGCATCCATTTTAGTACCCTTTTTTCTTGCTACTTGAGTTCTTTTCTTCATTTGTAATAATTTGTCTTGTTAACCACTTAACTGGAAAACACAATTTTTGAGATGTTCTCTTATGTATTTGAGAAGCAGGATCATAAAGTCCTGTTAAACCACCTAACTGTGATGTCTGCATGCCTGACAGAAATAATTTCAACAGTTCGAAGGAAGAAAGAGATTCCTATAGAAGTCAGAAACGGTATCATTTGTTTTCTTTCTTGTGTTTTTTTAACACACAGATGGATTGGCAATCCTTTGTTACATTTCAACCTTCATTTTCCCCTCTCCTTTTTAACTTCCCGAAGGATGTTTGTTTACTTATTTCTGAAACAGAGAGGAGTATGAGAGCTTGAGGAAACAGTACCGTCAAATCCTTAAACGTATGAGAAGAATGGTAAGTTGAAGGGAACTGATTCCACCAATGGAGGAAGCCCCCTGGTTGATGATTCTGACCACCCGTTCTATGATCATAGACGGACCCTGTTATCCTCTGATTTATTTCTGGAGAGAGATGTTGGCAAGAGAGCTGTCACTAGTCAAGATGCCTGTACCAGTGAAACAGAATCATCTGATTCTAACTCTTATGACGAACTTGAAAACACACCTCTCCTTTCCTCCGAAATTACTGAGGAAAATAATATTCATAAAGATGATGATGATAGTTCCTCTCCTCCCCTGATAGAAGGCAGGTCTGCATCCCACACTGATGAAGATTTTGCCACATGGCGGAGAATCATCCTCCTTGATGCTGTAAGGGCAAATGACGACTGGATAGTATACTCTCCCTCTCAAGCTGCAATGGCTGGCTGAGAGTGTTGGGTTGAAAGATTATGACGACTTAGAGCCATGCAGGATTTTTCATGCTGCTAGGCTTGTTTCTATCCTCGAGGCTTATGCCCTTTATGATCCTGAGATAGGTTACTGCCAAGGAATGAGTGATCTGCTCTCCTATCATCTCAGTGGTAGAGGATGACTGAGGCCTTTTGGTGCTTTGCAGGTTTCATGAAAAGAGCTCGTCACAATTTCCGACTTGATGACATGGCCATTAGAAGACAGTTAAATATCGTGTCCAAGATTATCAAGTGTAAAGATAATCATCTATATATACACCTGGAGAAGCTTCAAGCCGAAGACTGCTTCTTTGTGTATAGAATGGTTATAGTTCTTTTCAGGAGGGAGTTAAACTTTGAGCAGACTCTGTGCCTCTGGGAAGTGATGTGGGCAGACCAGGCAGCAATCCGTGCCGGGATTGCAAAGTCTGCTTGGGGGAGGATGAGAGCTCGAGCTCCCCCTACCGATGATCTTCTGCTTTATGCAATGGCAGCTTGTGTTTTGCAAAGGAGGAAACTAATAACAGAGAAGTACAGCAGCATGGATGAGATAATGAAAGAATGCAATAGTATGGCCGGACATCTCGATGTCTGGAAGCTGCTCGATGATGCCCATGACTTGGTGGTCAACCTACTTGACAAGATATAGGTCCAAACACCACTGCTTTTTTTTTCGTTTTTCCACTGATTTTTCACTGCTCAACTTGTTGCAACATTTATGGATCCCTAAACTAAGGGATCCAAGTTATTTGACATGTCTGCTTGAAACAAGCGTTTCGTAGGCGAATTCCCCGAGTCAAGTAAATTATGGGATTTACATTTGTTATGTTATATTGCCCGCGCTCAATATATCGGCTGGGTGATAGTGGCAGCGCTGAGAAATCAGCTATTTAGAATGTTCTTTAGCTTTGCTTGCAATTATTGAAGGACAGAAACATGCAGCTTAGATGGTTCTCCTTTTGTTTCAGTTTATGTTTGTTTATTTTTTAAGTAAAGAATAAAAGTCTAATCATTCTCCAAAGCCTTTTCTCTTTGAGAAAAATATTTTAAACGTTTGATTAAAAACTTATTTTAGTTTCTGTTTATTTTTTTACTCTTAACATGTTACTTTGGGGGTAAAAGGATTCATTTGTTAATGGAAATCATTGATCAATAAACAATGAATGTTCCAAAATAAATTCTTTCTAAAATGTAACATTAAGGCTAGAGAAAAATAAGAACTAAAGTGACTATGTAGTTAAATATTAAGAGTTTATTTATCTTAAATAAAATGCTGAGGGTTAAAATATTAAAGAATAAGATCAAAATAATTATTTAATTAATTATTAAAAATACTTTTTGATATTGATAAAAATACAAAATTTAAATATTAACATGTCACAAATTTAAATTTAATATAATTCTACTAACAATGTTATAAAATGAAATTGATGGGATTAAATTTTAAAAGTTCAAAGAGTACAGGGATTTAAACCCAAAAAGTCATGGGATCTCTCCCAAGTATGGAAAAGAAGTCCAACCCAAGCGAATATCAAAAGCCGACCATTCCCAAGCAAACTATTTTTGTTTTGACCAGTAGATGACGTCACAAAGGAACTTTGGATCTACCACCAAAGTCTCAAATCTCATGTGATTCTGCACGATTTAAATTCTTTTTGTCTTCTTCCCCACGTCACCGCCAAATACCGTGTGCTCCTTCCACCCGTTTCACCCTCCAAAACCAACGTCAACTCCTCCTCCGCCGCCTCCTCCTCCGCCGCCCAAAACCCATTTTCTTCTTCATATAAATGAATCACCTCCAAAAGCCATTTTAATTCCGTAAAGAAACTACAAAAAAATGTGTAGGTCTGCCGATCATTACGACTTCCGCACCAGCGGCCAAAATCTTTTAAAGATAAAAGTTTTCCTTGTTCGATTTTCGGGGTTCGGTTCGTGTACGGAGCCGTTACCCGATTCGCTCACTCTACTATTCCCGCCAAGAATAAACGAAACGGCGCGGCTTGAAGTTTCCAGCTCCAGTATCCGGTCCAGTTCCCCCGCGTTCGTGACTCTCCATCGGATGGTTAAAGTGAAGACGAGGGAAGGAGAGGCGATATACGGGAGCAGGGAGCGGGTTCTGGCCGGGGATGGGGTCCGGTTCGAGGTTTACTCAAGAGAGGAAAAGGTGTTGAAAGGGGTTTTCAGGAGAGAGGCGGCCGGCAAGTGGAAAATGGAGTGCAAGTGCGCGCTGGAGAGAGATGATGGGATAATGGGTGGTAGTGAAAACGCGGTTGCTGATATTTGCGTGGCGGTGGAGGGAGACGTGGCGATGGTGGGGAGGATGGAGATGGTAGTGAGGAAGTGTAGAAAGAACAGGAGGGCTGCATTCGTTGAGCTGGAGGATATTCCAGAGGAAGGCCAAAGTGAGTTGGATGGTGGTGGTAGTTGCAACGGTGGAGAAGCCAATGGTGGAGGAGAAATTGAGGGCCGGGAGATGGATATGGAGGCGGCGGAATTAAGCTGGGCCTTTGATGTGGGGTTTTGGGTCATGTGCTTCGGAGTTGGATATTTTGTGTCTAAAACCACTGCCATAAGCTTGAGACGCATGCGAATACTTTGACCCTGTATAAAAATAACACATTTTACCTTAAAACAAGTTTATTTTCGCTGAGCCGCAATTCGCAAAGTTGCCCATTTAACTTTGTCATCAAACTAACCCAAAATGTTTCCGATCTAACACTTATTTTTTTTTTAATATATGTTTAAAATATTTCTTAATCATAAATAATTAATATATATTTGTACACGTAATTCTTAAAAGATAATACTTTATTTAATTATTAAGATCAATAATTAATATATATTTTATAAACGTAATTCTTTAAATTAATAATTTCTAAAAAAATAATATTTCATTTAATTATTAAGCTCACTTACATATGAATTTCAATATATATATATATATATATATATATATATAAACATAGAGTCCATCTTCATCAAAATCTCATGTTGTCCTTGCAACAAACAACCATGGCGCCCGGCCGTAGTATGGGTAGGACTTTCTTACAAGACCTACTCTTATATGCAGCCAGCACCGCTTTCAGTTGTCTAGTCCTTTTCGCCGCAGTACTGTTGCAGGGCGTGATAGTGGGTGATGTGGTGAACCCAGATCACATAGACGTTGAATTTGTATCTGTTGCTGGGTTTGATAGAATCAAAGAAGCTTTGTATGAGTTGGTTATTCTTCCACTTATAAGGCCAGAGCTTTTTGCTTATGGAAAACTTTTGGGTCCCCAGAACGGGGTGCTTTTGTACGGTCCACCAGGGACAGGAAAAACCATGCTCGCCAAAGCCATTGCAAAAGCATCTGGGGCTGTCTTTATCAATGTTAGAGTCTCAAATTTGATGAGTAAATGGTTTGGTGAACACAATGATATTTCTTTTAATCCTTGTTATTCAGTTTAAAGGGTCTTAAGGTTATATTAATACTGTTATGTTATATTGTTGCAGTGGCTGCTGTCTTTAGTTTGGCTTATAAGTTGCAGCTAGCTATTATATTCATCGATGAAGTGGATAGTTTTCTGGGGCAACGACGAGCCAGGGATCATGAGGTAATGTCTACTATGAAATCCAGGTTTCAAATAGTAGACCGCTATAGCGGCCATTATTTCACAGTAGTACCGCCGTTCAAAACCGTTATTGATAATTTTAACGGTTATGTATATTATTGTATATGTTAGTCCATGATTAAATACTATTGTCTGGCAAATGGTTATATGTATAACCATTATTTCACAGTAGTACCGCCGTTATTTCTCTAGGAGAAATTTGCATGTTGAATTCACATACTATAAAAGATTGGCAATACGCTCTTTCATATTATGTTTCTTTGAGTATGTCAGTTAAATGAGAAATATGACTTGTACTTTGCATCGGTCTCAACTTACCGGTGCTTTTGGTGTGTGGTTACAGGCACCAGGACCATTGTTAAAGTTTTGGCTACTCCCGTTAAGAAATTATTTTCCAAATGGTTATCAGATCAAATTTACAATGGAGCACACCAAATTTTGATGTTCGTGAATACTACTAACATTGAGTCGGAGCCTAAGTCCTTGAGGAATCATTAAATTGTTATATCGAAGAGAATATTGTTTTCTTTAAAAGATTTAGATTCAAACAATTATAAATATAAAATATTTTTATTAAATAGAGAGATATTACATTTCCAAGATACTAAGATTTAAACTCATATGAAGTGGGACAATATAAATATATTTAACTATTCGGTCAATTAATGGATCTTATCATAAACTATTTATAGATCCATTAATTTTAAAAAAGAATTAAGATGTGTTTTGTTTCATTTGGACGTGATTGCTATAAAATCTAGTGGTTGAAAATCAGAATTTTGGAAATGTAGAAAACGGTGCGTATCCAAGGGTTTTGGCGGTGGAGTTGAAAATTTGGAGTTAAAGGCATGTGGGCACTTTCAAGAGGAGGGTTTAACCAGAGAATTTTCAACTTGCCCAAACCCTCTCGCGCCCTCTCATGACTACCTCTAACTTTATTAGGGATTCTTCTCCTGCTTACTCCACTGGCTCCCCCACCCACGCTCCTTTTAAGCGCATTGGCACTCACAACGGCAGTTTCCACTGCGATGAGGCCCTTGGCTGCTTCATGATTCGTCTCACTGACAAGTTCTACAACTCCGAGGTTGTCCGTACACGGGATACCAAGGTTAGTCCCCCCCGGTCTTTTTTTTTTGTGCGTGGTTGATGAAATATTGTAGCAAAGTCAGAAGAAACGGAAATTATGAAATGGGTTTTCTTTTGGGTCTAAGTATGTGTTGTTTTTACTTCTCTATGAAGTTTTATTGTTGTTTGCAAGTTTCATACGAGTTCTGCCTATAAATTACAAAACTTGAAATCTAGAGCCAATTGGGGAAATGGGTGGTTTATTATGATATTCGTGTAGTTTATTTGTTCTCGTTTGGTTTCTATGCTTCCTCTTCGAAGGTTCTTCATACGATTGATCCAAGTTTCTAGGTATTGGAGGGGCTTGATGCTGTGCTTGATGTTGGAGGCGTGTATGATCCTAGTCGTGACCGATATGATCATCACCAGAAGGAATTTGAGGAGGTTTTTGGACATGGTTTTAATACAAAGCTCAGCAGTGCCGGACTTGTTTATAAGGTATTCGTTTCTTCCATACGCAATTGAAGTTTATTTTTGTGCTTCTCTCCTTTTGCCTTTTGTGTATTGCGGTCTGATTCAACTTCTTGATAAGAGTATAATATGAGCAATGATGTCTTTTGGTAGGTTATTATATTTCTTCATGATTTATAATTTTCCCTGTATTTAGCATTTTGGCAAGGAGATAATAGCTAAAGAGCTTCAGCTTGGAGAAGACCACTCGGATGTGCATAGATTATTTCTAGCCATTTACAAAAGTTTCATGGAGGTAATTACATATTTGATTCTTTAATGTTTTAAATAGGTTTGACCTCAACAACTTCCAAATCTTGTATGGAAGCAGATTTAGAACTTTTATTTCTTGGTTTCACTTTTCTATGCTTTAGTTAAGTGATTATGATTTAAATATTCAATTATATACATTTTCTTTTACCAGGCAATCGATGCAATTGACAATGGAATCAACAAATTTGATACTGACAAGCCTCCAAGATATGTGAGCAATACACACTTATCTTCTAGGGTTGGAAGATTAAATCTAGACTGGACAGATCCTGATCAGTCACCTGAGAAGGAGAATGAGGCTTTCCAACGAGCAATGGCTTTAGCCGGTAGTGAGTTCTTAGAAGTAAGGTTCTGTCTGAATTAAAAACATACCTAATATACAATTATTAGTATGGTCTTCAATGTCCTGGATAAGGATATTTTCCGTTGCCTTCTGAAGGATGAAATTATGTACTGTATTATTCTTCATAATTTAATATTCTGATGGCCTTCTTCAATTTTCAGAGTATCCGATATCATGCAAAATCATGGTTACCAGCAAGATCAATTGTAATGGAATGTATTGCTGAGAGATTTGAAATAGATTCAAGTGGTGAAATTATGGTTTTGAAAAGGTTTTGCCCCGTAAGTAGATGTTTCTAATTTTCCTCTTGTAATTTTCTTATTCAGCTAGCTCTGCATATGGTGTGGATTGTTCCTTATTTGTTATCTGTTTATGCATCTCTTCTTGAGAGGAAAGCAAGCTATCTTATAGAGAAATTGTTGGTTTATAAATATACTGATTTTGGTCCTTCAATGGGTTTGAACTTTCATCAAATAACCTGTGCAACTTCCAGTTGCATGTGAGATAAATTTATTACTGCGAGTGGCTGTGGCTTATGATTGACTTACCTTCAGATGTCATTTATGTACAACCAAGTCTGATTTCATTTCGCATCCAACAGTGGAAACTTCACTTATTTGAGCTTGAGGAGGAGCTGAAGATTGAGCCTCCTATTAAGTATGTTCTTTATGAGGTATGCATATACTAGACCTGTAGACCAATCTTCCTTTCAAACAAGTTCTTGTATATGTTAGTCCTAGATTAAATACTATTGTCTGGCAAATGGTTATGTATATCATTCACTGCTGTTTCCCAATCCAGAGTTGCAGTTATTGTTGCTATTTTCTGGAAGTTTTAGATAGATTCTTATCATACTCATGACCCAGGATGAAAGAGGCAAACAATGGCGAGTTCAGGCAGTTGCAGTATCTCCTGATAGATTTGAGAGTCGGAGACCCTCCCGGCTCAGTGGCGAGGTTTGAGGGATGATGAGCTCTCAAAGGAGGCAGGGATTTCTGGCTGTGTTTTTGTTCACATGAGCGGGTTTATTGGTGGAAATCAAGCTTATGAGGGTGCTCTAGTGATGGCAAAGACTGCTCTAAAGATATGATCTTGGGAGGTTGTCTTTATTTCATTCACTTGACATGGTATTTTACATGATTCTATGACAGGATTTCTATTATTTACAAAGTATTTGTGGATTTATTCAGAGCTGTTTTATTCATTTGAACTTTTTAGGATGAAATGAAATCTGAAGGTCTTCTGTTATTTTCCTATAAATGCTAAGAGGTAGTATTATATGCTCTGATGTTCTGTATTTTCCACATCCTTTTATTATGCATACGATGGGCTTTGATTATGTGGTTTAACGGTAATTATTACGTGTCGAATTGTATACAACATCCACTTTAATATATAAAACATAATTTGAGAAATCATTTTTCAATTTTTCAAAAATATCCACTTTAAAACTTTATCAAATAATATAAAAATATCAAATTAAAATCATTTTATCAACAACAAAAAATCAAACTCAAAATTAATATATAAAACAAAAAAAAAAAAACAAACCAAGTTGAACTGTTCAATAATATTAGAAAACCCGTCCGAACCGATCTCAAAAATTCATATTGGGTGTCTTCGAATAGTTCACAGCAAATATTAATGTGGAAAGTGGGTTCAAGCTCCATCGCCTCCATATTTCCGTCAAATGTGAAGGTCTATTTCGTTGTGAGCAAATTCTTTACATTAGTGAACTATCCTCAACTTTCAATTGTTGGAGGCTTGATATCATATGAAATCAAGACTGAAACTTCAGAAAGGATTGAATCAGTAAAACTGGCCTAGTAATTTGATGTTTGATAGAAGATGATTACATATGGCAAAAATAAGTTCAGAGGGGACGGGTGAACCTCTCAGGCGCTATTAAAAATATGGTACAACGACCTTTGCACTGGCATCTTTCTACAGGCATTTGATTTTATTTTCAGCTAACCATATCAGCATCTACAGGCATTGCCCTCTCTTCAGGAGCAGCAGGGTCCATAAACTGCGATCTTGTCTCTGTGGCAAAGGGACTTCTAGCAGAAGTAGAGTCTATTTCCATTGCAGAAGCTTTGGGAGGAGAGGGAGGTTGTACCTCTATGTGTGGGTAGGCAGCCTTGTACCTCGCTCTTAAACCTTCATCGACTAATCGAACTCCATTCAACTGATTCCCAAGTGATATCCATCTGATGGAAATATGTAGAAACGAGACTGCTTAAACACTGACGTATACATTTAAGAGTTCAGATTTACAGGGGTCTAAAAACACTAAAAATGGCAACTTATTATTGTAGTAATAGAATATGAGTAGTTATTTACCAGTTACCAGGGGTAATTAACATTAGGTACTGAAAAGGACAAATGCAAATATATAAGCCTTGAAACCATTTAGGTACCTTCAATGTTTATCCTAAAAACATACCCTCTCATAAATGATAATATATTTGAATAATTTTAAAAGCCAGAAAAAGGATCCAAGATACCATACCCTGCATGAGTATTATGCATGCGAGCAAATAATTCCAGCTTCCTTGTCCTTGGACTTATCCTCTCTAGCATGGGGTACATCTGCAGAGTTAAAGTTTCCAATAAGTTCTTGAACTACATAACAGGTCATTGCAAATAAATAAAGCACTACAACAGAAATAAAGATCAGCCAATGGTATCGTAAGATGTACAACATTAAATTTCAAAATTAGAATATATGGTCATCAACATCCTTAAGCATCAAGATGTCGTAAACTAACAATTGTAAATGGAACTGCTAGATATGTAGGGCATGAAATATAAGTTCCCACAAACCTCATCTGGCTTACGGCTAGTCTCTCGAACCTCAGCAACAATGACATCTGTATCAATATTCTTGTTTATTTCTGGATTTCCCTTGATTCCAACAAGGCAATGTTCCTTACTATGATTTAACCAATGACCTGTTCTTCCAGTTCTAATTATTCGCTGAAGTTGATTTGTTTTCACCCAAATAATCTCCTCACACCGCTTGTAACCCCATTGTTCCAAACTGCGAGAAGCATGATTGCTTTTACATATATGAATAAAATTTTATTTATTAAAATCAACAAACATGCAGAATAAAGCACAAACCATTCCCACCCTAGCTCCATTGCACGTCCAGTGACCCAAAAAAGATCAGACCATCAGTCTGCAATGCAGGAACATTAAGATTGCGCATCTCATCATCGGCCATTGTTCCATAAGGTAACTCCATGTGAATATCCCATGGTGGATCTGCCATGATGACACCAAACTGCCCCAGAATGTCCAT